AAAAGGGCTAGCATGTTTGGTGGGATGGGGATTCGAACCTGCAACCCACAGATTACGAGTGTTTGTATATATTCTGTGAGTCTTAACATGTCTGCTTTTTGAAAGTACAATGAAAGGCATGTGGGTTGGATAAAAACCAGATCATATAAGTACCAACAGAATTTCACCCCTGATGGTATAACTTATATTCGTGGTATTTGGCACCGAGTGTCAGCTTAACAATGTTAACAGCTACAGAATACATATCTGTGTAATGCACATGCTAATTTCCTAATATGTATTCATCAAGTATAACGTGTATTTTTAAGTAGCTATGACATTCAAATTATTTTGGAGTGATACCAAATTGTAGTGGAAAATATAGATTAAACAACATTCAGTTAGAAAAAAGGAGAAATGTTAAGTAGGTTTGCTTGTCACTTAGTTTTTTTTATATACAGTTCACTATTACCTCTTTCATTTAAGAATTTAAAAATGTTTAGAATGAAATAGCTCAGGTTTTAAGCTGAAAATGTGAAGATGTTTATGTAGAAATTACAAAATTCATAATCCTGTTTGCGCCAAAAACGTAGCAAGAAGGTAAACTGTAAATATATTGGATATTTATATAACATACTCTTACAAGTGGTATGATATAGAAACAGTAAAACAACATAACTTATAAAAACCTAAATTTTGAGGCTTAATACTGTTACATGTTTATATGCAAGTGCCATTATGTGACTTTAAGGAATTATTTCCATTTAAAAAAATGACAGTCTTGAACATTTTGAATTATTGACAATTATAACAGAATAAAGCTTCATGGCTACTGCTCAACTTATTTCTGTTTTTGTAATGTAATAAGTTTCTTTTTAATATGTATTTCTCTTAGAATAAAACTTCATGGATGTTGTTCAACTTGGCTACATATTACTGGAGAGAGAAGGGTGATGCAAATAATGCAATAGAATGCCTTCGTCGAGCTTTGCACTTCTCACCAAGGTACAATGGTAGCTATTATTTACAAACTTGTTGACAGAAAATTTTTAATGTATAATTTTTTTCAAGTATTAATTATTTTCTGTACTAGTTTTGTCAGGGAACTTTTTTTTCTAGAAACAGTGTTTATATATGTACAGCTTTCATTGTTGGCAAGACTTCACCATGACATTTAGTGTTTATATGTACACCACTTTCATTGTTGGCAAGACTTCACCATGATATTTAATCAATGTTTATATGTACACTACTTTCATTGTTGGCAAGACTTCACCATGACATTTAGTGTTTACATGTACACCACTTTTATTGTTGGCAAGACTTCACCAATACAGTTGAAACCGCATTATTGTTTTACGTGTTTAAAATTCTAACTGTATACAAACTAATTAGTTAATTAACATTTAGTTAACTTGTGAATGTTGCTGATATCTAATTTTCTTGTAATAGAAGATTCTGTTATTCAATTTTTTAACCTCGTATAGGGAAGTATAAAAGTTTAGTTAGTTTTCCAATAAACCTTATATCACCTTCAATTCACTATCTAGAAAAACTTGTGTATGTAGATTAATACACTTACATGTGGAGTAGTTTGAGTTCTTAAAAATCATGTGCTTTACAAGCAATAAATGGTGCATTAACCATTTAGCTCGGTTGGTAGGACATTCAGGTGGCATACAGAACATTTTAGTTTAGATATGAGTGAGGTACTCTTAGTTTTTTGTACTATCTCAGCTCAAGACCAGAGACTTTCTATGCTAGGCGAGTGTTCTACTGACTGAGCTAAAGGATTAACTCACTAGTAATTGCTAGTAAAGCACTTTTTAAAAAAACTCAAACTAACGTATATGCAGGGTTAATATATTTTTCATTGAAAATAAATTTATTCTCATCGGTATGTTTAAATGACTTTAAATTAATTCAATAACTAGGTAGAAACAAAATGTAGTATTTATCAGAAGTTTTGCTGTGTACTTTGTTTTGTCATTTAAAATGTCTTCTGATATCTTTACCTGGAAATTCATTAGTTCATTTTCTGTTGTATAACTTTAAAAGTGTTGATTGAAAATGTAAAAGGGGTTCTGCTCTTAAAGGAAAAAAAAACGAAATTAAATTGGAGAATGGGATGCAAATTTAGTTGATCATTAAATAATGTAATATGCCATATCTATTTGATCAAGAAGAACAATTAAATTTTGAAATAAAATTCCGGTATTTTCTCTCTCTCAGGGAACATAAAGATATTGCTTTAATTAGTCTGGGAAATGTCTTGCATCGGGCTCATTTCTCCGAAGAAGCAGCAGTTGTAGTACGTGCAGCTATAGATGTAGATCTAGACAATGCCATTTCACATTATACTCTCGGGATCATCTATGCTGTGAGTTTCATTCAAAAAAAATTTATTCAGAATTCAAAATAACAGCTTAAGTAATAGCAGAAATATTTCATGTGTTGCATTTTATTTTTTTTATAACAGAAACTTCTTTTCTTTACTTGAAACAAAGAATCAAAATATATGTTTGCTGTAATTGAAATAGCACGGTATTATCTAATTAAATTGGGTCATTGTCTTCAAACAGAATCATGCTTAAGTATCATTGTAAGACCATTTTGATATTGTGTCTCAGTTGTCCTCATAAATTTAATGGAGTACACTAAAACAAAATAACCTTTTCTTTATCAAATATATTTCCCAGTAATATTTTTTGCTCCTACTTGCATAAAATAAACTGTTTTGTCAAAAAAGAAACAAGGTCTCAAGTAATTGTTTTGGATGAGTTGTTATTCAAGATTTGTAGAGTTAATCAACTGGAATCCCTCTGATCGGACCATTTTAATATATTATCTAATTATATCAAGGTTGTTGTTTTTTTTGGCCTAGTAGTTATGGTGAGTATAGCAGTTTGTTTTTGTAGGTTTTAGCCGACTACAATAAATCAGTGGAGTCTTTTGAAAATGCCTTAAAAGTTCAGCCAGATTTCAAAAATGTAGAACAGCATCTTCATGCAGTCCTATGTCATAGCAAAGTGGAAAAAGCTCTAGAAACTCAACACAGGTAACCATATAGAACATGGCCATCAAACAGAAGTAACCATATAAAATGTAGCCATCATGTAGAACTAACTATATAGAACATAGTCATCATGTAGAAGTCACTATAAAAATGTAACCATTATGTAGAAGTAGCCATATACAGAGCATAGTCATCATGTAGAAGTCACTATAAAAAATGTAACCATCACGTAGAAGTAGCCATATAGAGCATAGTCATCATGTAGAAGTCACTATAAAAATGTAACCATTATGTAGAAGTAGCCATATACAGAGCATAGTCATCATGTAGAAGTAGCCATATACAGAACATAGTCATCATGTAGAAGTCACTATAAAAAATGTAACCATCATGTAGAAGTAGCCATATAGAGCATAATCATCATGTAGAAGTAAACATATAAAGATAGTCAACACGTAGAAGTAACCATATAGAACATAGTCATCATGTAGTAGTCACTATAAAAATGTAACCATCATGTAGAAGTAGCCATATAGAGCATAATCATCATGTAGAAGTAAACATATAAAGATAGCCATCATGTAGAAGTAACCATACAGAACATAGTCATCACATAGAACAGATATAGTTATTTTCACAAAACGTATGTTACAGATCCAACGATTAAAAAAAAAGTTTTTGTTTAAAGTTTTGTAATTTTTGTAGTATTGTGAATCATATCTGTCCTACAATAAGTAAATATTATAGGTAAAAGATATGTTTATATTTTTACAGGAAATTTGTTACAAACATAATTGAGTTGAATGCTATGCTGGAACTAAGTTCTAGAACTTTTTATATGGAAAATTTGTATAAAGCAAAAGAATGAAAAAAAAAAACTGAAAATATACAGGCATAAAAACATTATTTTGTGACACTTTTTTTTCTTATGCATTAATCTAGCTCTTTACAACGGACTTTGTCGGAGTTACGAGATTATCGAAAACAACATGAGTTGTGGCTTAAGCAACAAGAACAGCTTTTAAGCGAACAAGCCCCACCTGAAGTTAAGCTCGTACAAAGGCTGGAATACGAAGAGCAGAAGATCCGAGAGAGTCTGGATGGTAGAGGTAGTGACTCTTCTCAAAAGAATGAATGTTGTGTGTTACCTGTGCTTCTTACTGTAGTACCTCCTTGAATATAATTGTTATAGACTGAAAAAATGTTGTTTTGTTTTTGTTTTAAAAAAATATACTTTGGAGATATAAAGCATCTTCTGACATTTTGTTAAATCTTATTCACAGTCAGATGTACATTGCATGTACTTGTTAATCTGAAGCTATTAAAGTTTTTGTTTAGTGCACGTTTTGTTTTGTTCATTCTTATCTTCTTTTCCTACTCTCACTATAAATTATAAAACAAGTACGTTTTCTCTGGTAAGTTTCTTCTTCGATAACTTTATCTTCTGTCGTGTCTTCAGTATCTTTAGTATATATATATATTCAAATATCCCAAGAATAAAATAATTGTTTTTGAGATACACACACACACACGCATCATTTGTATATTAAACAAATTAGGAATATTAATTATTCACATGAGTTCACTGCTGATTTTAATAAAACTCCATGAATTGCGTGTAAATTCTTGGCTGGTTTATATAATGCTAGGGCCAGTTAACGTTGCTATTTAATTTTTCAAAATATTTTAATTTGACGTATACTCAGGCTTTTTAAAATGTTGAAAAAAATACAATATTAGATGTATATTGTATACATAAATATATTCACGAAGAAATATATCAGAATGTGAGTATCATATATGGATAACGTATAAAAGTGATATTTGTCCGATGTTAGTTTGAAAATAGAAGCGGGAATTGTATCTAGTTTTTTTTTCTGTCTTTGGGACGTGCAAGTAAATAAATATTATTCTGCATGTCAGAATATTGACATCATGATGTTCATTGTTGAACAAAATTGACTAATTTTTTTTCTTCCTTTTGAAATTTTATCATAGTTTTAACGTATACTGGTTTCTATATTTTGACCAAATGTTTTAATATATATAATCAGATAACTTGTAGAATTCATTTTAGGAAAAATCACAGGTCTGAAGTTTATGGAAAGAGCAAAATGTTTACTATATAAGGACTTCATCTTGACATTTAAAAAACAGATGAGGACAGGAATGCTGCCTTAGTTTTTTTAGTAAGTAAGGAAGATGTAAAACAACTTCTTGGGCCTTTTGCCAGTAGGAGTGCTAAACGTCACAGAAGTGACCCTTTTCAGTAACGTCATAAATATTAGATAATGTTATAGTGAATGTGTTGAAATTAAAATAATTAGGGAAAATATTTGATGATAATGATTGGGAGTCAGGGCCAAACCAAGGGCAGTGCGTATGGTGTGCCCACATTTGATGATAATGATTGGGAGTCAGGGCCAAACATAGGGTAGTGCATATGGTGTGCCCACATTTGATGATAATGAATGAATCAGGGCCAAACCAAGGGTAGTGCGTATGGTGCGCCCACATTTGATGATAATGAACGTGAATCAGGGCCAAACCAAGGGTAGTGCGTATGGTGCGCCCACATTTGATGATAATGAACGGGAATCAGGGCCAAACCCAAGGATAGTTCGTATGGTGTGCCCACATTTGATGATAATGAATGTGAATCAGGGCCAAACCAAGTGTAGTGTGTATGGTGTGCCCACACAGGTTTCCAACCTGTAGGGGCACAACAATAGGTCAGCACCAATTAGATTTTTTTGAGGAGGGGTGCAGAATTTATATCGCACACAGAGTGCCATCAACAATCAGTACAGCTCTGATGGGGGTTTGGTCACTTAGGTGTAATTTTTACGTCCAAAACGTATTACGCAGTTTGGGAAATTTCCATACCCATTTTTCCATTAGTAAGGATACATGAAATTAAGTCTTGGTTTTTTAAAATCTTTACCTAAGTCTGCCACTTTGATATATCTTATTGGTAAGTTTAAAATAAGAGAATGTTAGTAATCATCTATCTACAGTTTAATCTGTACACCTGCTAGTAATCAAGAATTGCTCTGTAATCAGGATGTAGGAAAGGTACAATATTGATAGTTGCAGCTTTAGGAGATTAGAAAAACATGGATAGAAAAAGATATAGTATTCAAAGTTACAGGTTTTGGTGAGATTGAAAAAAAAACAACATATTCACAATTGCGTGTACATTTACAAATAGATGCTATAACATACGTGTTTATATAAAACAGGTAGGATGTGGTCGGGCTAACAATAAAAAATAAAGAAACTGAAGCTATGTATCTTGCTTACTTGTAATTGTTTAATTGACACTTTCAATTTTCTTCTATTTAATAATCCTGCTTGTTTTCTACCTAAACGGTAAAATTAATTGGAAACATGTATTTTTTTACAACTTTTCCTTTATCCTCTCAATATGTAAAAAGTACATTGCCCTAGTTATGTGGGAATGGGGAACCTACTTGCATCTTTAAAAGTAACTAAGTTTGAATAATAAGGCCTACATGGATTGAGCTTCATTCGTCAAGATGGTAGGCCAGCACTAAGCCAATTACCCTGGATTATTAGGGTTCCCCCCCCAGAACCAGTGGTAATTATTAGCCTTATCAACTTAACCAGCACTAAGCCAATTACCCTGGGTTATTAGGGTTCCCCCCCCAGAACCAGTGGTAATTATTAGCCTTATCAACTTAGTACTGATGTTCCGTTAAGATAAACCGAGTTGAACATAACATGTAACTCTCAATTGCTTTAAGAGAAATGTATATGATTCTTCACAAATCTTACTACAAAAATCACTGTTTCCACTGCATTGTAACAATGGTTATAAAATCATCAATACTGAATCATTGAAAAGAGGATGACATGTTTTTCCTCGAATATCTTCACTCGATCAAAAGTTCATGAAATACATGTTCCTAGTATCCTGATAATATTTTTTGGGACCATACTGGGGGCATTATAATGTACATTAGGCCTTTGACACACTCATTAGTCCCACAGTGGCTTAGCAGTAAGTATACAGTCTTACAACATTAAAAATCAGGTTTCGATGCATGTAATGGTCAGAATACAGAAAGACCATTGTGTAGCTTTGTGCTTAACATCAACCAAACATATTACTTTCAAATACTATACATTTCAACATTGAAATTATAACTCAAGCTATCCGATGTTCAGCTTTTACATCAATACCTGTTCTGTTATTTTTTAGGAAAACAGTCAAGTTTTATTAGGGATGTTGTGGAAAACTATAATAAAATAAACAGTTATGAAAACAAGAAGAAACTGTGTAGTAGTAAAGTGCTATACACTTCCCTGCCAATAATATCTAGATGTACCTTGAATATGTGATGTAGCTTTTCAGGGATACTCGGTGAGTATGGTTACAGCAATATAACAAATGAGTAGATTTATAATATAAAGTCATTTGTGAGATTAATAAACATCGCGGCCATGTCAGGTGGTTAAGGTGCTCGACTCGCAATCTGCGGTTCGTGGGTTCAAATTCCCATCCCACCAAAGACGTTCGACCTTTCAGCCAAGGGGGCATTATAATGTGACAGTCAATCCCACTATTCATTGGTAAAAGAGTTGGCGGTGGGTGGCGATGACTAGTTGCCTTCCCTCTAGTCTTACACTACTAAATTAGGGACGGCTAGCGCAGATAGCCCTCGTGTAGCTTTGCATGAAATTCAAGACAAACATCGTTAAACTGAGCAAGGAACATTTATAGGATGTGAAGAAAATCAATGTGTGAAATAATTGCATTGCTTCACAACATGCAATCTATTGTACATAAGACTATTCAGTAGTGTCAGGAACCTAATAATATACCATATAAAAAATTTCAGGCTGCCAGGAAAAGGCTATCGAAGTATGGGAAAACATCTTAGTATTTCAAAAAGTGCTGGGCTGCAGATCAGAAGGTCTAAGGTTTGTGTCTGATTTTAGTCTTCACTGCATCCAACATGAATTGGCACCACCTGTGAGGTGTTATAAGTGTGCTTTCTATGAATGTGGATAATTTAGAATCATAAAGACCGAATACACCATACACACACTGACCTGAAGACAAAAGGCAGAAGACTTTCGAAACGTCATCCTCTACGCTTGTGTTTCTACAACAGGCAGTAGCCATCCATTCAACAAAGTTTCAATCATAACACTTGTTTGTGAATTTTCTGGATCAATGAGGCTCACTGCACTTAATTTCAAACTGATGGTTAAATACTAGTCAGGGGCAGACTAGTGATCACTTCAGCCATGGTTATATCATGTCAACTGTGAGGATTGTGGTGGAGGTATTATGGTGTAGTCTGAATTCAATGTCTAAATTAAGCCTGGAGTCGGTCTGTGAAGTGGCAGCATGTCTAAATTAAGCCTGGAGTCAGTCTGTGAAGTGGCAGCATGTCTAAATTAAGTCTCGAGTCAGTCTGTGAAATGGCAGCATGTCTAAATTTAGCCTGGAGTCAGTCTGTGAAGTGGCAGCATGTCCAAATTTAGCCTGGAGTCAGTCTGTGAAGTGGCAGCATGTCCAAATTTAGCCTGGAGTCAGTCTGTGAAGTGGCAGCATGTCTAAATTTAGCCTGGAGTCGGTCTGTAAAGTGGTAGCATGTCTAAATTTAGCCTGGAGTCAGTCTGTGAAGTGGCAGCATGTCTAAATTTAGCCTGGAGTCAGTCTGTAAAATGGCAGCATGTCTAAACACCTGCAAATGAGGAACAGTGAGGGACACATTTTTCCAGCATGGGGATGTTCTCTGAAACAAAGCACGCAGAATAACAATAATTATTATTCCATTCCCACTTTCAAGGTTATGGAATTAAAAGTGACTGAGAGTCATCTCTGGAATCATTTGTATGCGTATATATACATATATATATATAATTTTATTTTTGTTGTTGTTTTTTTCCTGTATGATCTTAATTTTTTTACTAGCATTTTTCAGGATCACTAGTACTTACTAAGCTGCTTCTTCTTTTATGCACATTTAATGATAATTAACAGGTATTTTAACCTGTGAGAGAAAATGTAAGCTTACTAACATGTATGTACATATTTAGAATCATATCTATCATTAATTATTGCAAAGTTCAGAAGAAAAAACCTGACTTGTAACATTTCATGACATGTTACTGATTTTACTTTCACTCCAAGTGTATTATTAAGGACAATTTTAGTTTTTCAAATATATTAGGTGTTCCAACATCCTTGGGATCAACTTGTGTAAATCATATATTAGGTGTTCCAACATCCTTGGGATCAACTTGTGTAAATCATATATTAGGTGTTCCAACATCCTTGGGATATGATTTACACAAGTTGGTACCAGGTGAAGCACAAGTTTTTGTTTCTGGAAAGATTATACACTAAAAAAGGCCTAGTAGAGACCTTCAAATCACAAGATACATGTCACAATTTTACACAATGGTAGTAGGTAGGAGAAACTTCAACATCTCGGGTAGTATTTCACAGTTTTACACAGTGGTAGTAGGTAGTAGAAACTTCAACATCTCAGTTAGTATCTCACAGTTTTATACAGTGGTAGTAGGTAGGAGAAACTTCAACATCTCGGGTAGTATTTCACAGTTTTATACAGTGGTAGTAGGTAGGAGAAACTTCAACATCTCGGGTAGTATTTCACAGTTTTATACAGTGGTAGTAGGTAGGAGAAACTTCAACATCTCGGGTAGTATTTCACAGTTTTACACAGTGGTAGTAGGTAGGAGAAACTTCAACATCTCAGGTAGTATTTCACAGTTTTACACAGCTCTAACAGATAGGAGAAACTTAACATATCAGGTAGTATTTCACAGTTTCACACAGTGGTAGTAGGTAGGAGAAACTTCAACATCTCGGGTAGTATTTCACAGTTTTACACAGTGGTAGTAGGTAGGAGAAACTTCAACATCTCAGGTAGTATTTCACAATTTTACACAGTGGTAGTAGGTAGGAGAAACTTCAACATCTCGGGTAGTATTTCACAGTTTTACACAGTGGTAGTAGGTAGGAGAAACTTCAACATCTCAGGTAATATTTCACAATTTTACACAGTGGTAGTAGGTAGGAGAAACTGACATTTCAGGAAACACTTCACTGTTTTATGATACAGAGTTACTGAAAGGAGAAACTTCAGCATCTTGAGAAGCTTGTTAATGAAAAAAGGTACTTCAACATCTCAGGAAGCACTTCACAGTTTTATAATACAGAGTTACTGAGAGGAGATATGTCAACATCTCGGGAAGTATTTCACAGTCCTATACAGTGGCATTAGACAGGATACAATAAGATATTAGGAGCACATTAAAATTGGTTATTAAACAAATTTCACTATCTGTATGTTGGTAGCTTTACATGATTTGCCTACTACCAACAATTAATTTTGAATTGATGAGACTTTTCCAGAACTTTCAAGCTTTTATATCTTTGAAAAAATATTTTGGTCATTTTCAAAGAATTAGTTACACATGGTGGGCCTGGTTTGATAAGCTTCATAGAAATGGTTTGCATACTTCTGTCAGCCTAAGCCTTTTACTGTTTATCAATTAAAAATAGCTCATGCAAGGCAAAAGTCAACACAGAAATCATAACGTGAGTTCATCAAATGATTTCTGTCTTTCAGAAGTCTTAATGTGAAGGAAAATAGTTATAAATTAAAGTGTGTCTAATATGGTGTTGAATGGGAAAATGTAGCTCTTAGTTTTGCCGATGTTAAAAATAACTTCTCAATAAACTGTTTTATCACACAGTTCATCTAATAACTTGTCCGATAACTTATTTATGCTGCACATTTTATTTCAATTTTCCAGCAGGAAAAAAAAAAAGCTTATATTTTTGCAATGTTATTTTATTTATTTTTTATATATTCTTAAAATACATGTTTTAAATTTAAACATGTCTTGTTTTCTTTTTTCTAATGAAGGATAGAACATCATGTAGTGTTGGACGTTGATGTTCTGTATGGGATATGATAATGTGTCGAGTTATAAATTATACTGTTGAAGATAATCTGGAATTACATTAGTCAAGATTTATTTAACTTCAATGGGATAGTTTTAGTGTAAAGAGATAAACATTTTGTATATATTAACTTTCTTCTTGAAAGTATCTATAAATTAAAAAAGAAGACTAACTTAGCTTTATACGTCTAAGAAAAACATCCTGGAATTGTACCACAGAAGTTGTTTTGAAATCATCATTACGTTTTAAAATACAGAAACTTAATAATATTAAACTACTCATCAGTTATACATATCTGTATAGAAAATACGAGTTTTCTCATTCTACTTGAAATCTGAAATTTTAAATTTTTTCCCTCAGTACAAGAAATAGATAAAAACTTGTATTTATCGTGCCACGCATGACCTTTGGTTAATTCGAAGCTGGTGATCAGAAGGTCTAAGATTTGTGTTGTGATGCTGCTGAGGATGAGTTATAAGAGTGAGAGTTACTGCAGTTGTAAAAGATTGAGAAAAGCCCCCATGGCAGCAAATGCTGTTGACTCTACCTTTATTCTGGTCAGTAGTCAAAAATAAGTACAGCTGTAGCTGAACCCCAGGTGTCTCTCATCTGTTCGTTCAGTTACAGAAGGCATAACTATCCAGTTCAATCTACTTGATAATTTAGAACTCCTGTTTATTTTAATCTTTCTAACAAACCTGAGTGTTATTTTATATTTTCTGGAAAAATTCATGTTAATCCATTAATCATTGTGACATCTTCAAAGATTTAGATTTTTTACATTTTTTTCCAGTAGATACCAAGTTTCTAACATAAGTTTTCTTAATTTATAAATTGTTACTTTAAATCATACACAACTGACTGAGATTTTAGTGGATTTTACTTATTCCAATGTAACTAATTGGGGAGTTTTACACTTCACAACTGACTGAGATTTTAGTGGATTTTACTTATTCCAATGTAACTAATTGGGGAGTTTTACACTTCACAACTGACTGAGGTCTTAGTGGATTTTATGTACTGAGATATTAGTGGATTTTATTCACTAAAGTGAAGTTGGTGGGGAAGTTTTACACTTCACAACTGACTTAAATCTTAATGGATTTTACTTACAAAATAGCCAATCAGTAACCATATTCAATTATACAAGGGACACATAGAAGTGCATAAATGATTGAGGTGGCCTCTGAAACCTTTTTTTGTAGTTATTCTGCAGCCTAGAATGCAAGAAATTGCATTGTCTAACCCTGATTTTTTCAACATTTTCCAGATCACTCCCATGGACCCCTAACAGGGCATGTGACCCACTTCTTTTATTTTCTGTCTCTTCAAAACATTGGCAAGAATTATAGTTTTCAAAGCTCTAGTGGGAAAAAGCGAGACAATTAAGCCTTTTGCAATTGATTGGAATTTCAACTGAGTTTACTTATTTAATGATTTAGTTTCTGTTTTATTTCTTCTTGATGGGTTCGGATCCCTGTCCCACCAAAATGCTCACCCTTTCAGTCATGGGGGCATTATAATGTGACAGTCAATCCCACTATTCATTGGTAAATGAGTAGCCCAAGAGTTGGTGATGGGTGGTGATGGCTAGCTGCCTTCCCTCTCATCTGTCACTGCTAAATTGGGGACGGCTAGCGCAGATAGGTCTCGAGTAGCTTTGCACAAAACTCAAATGACTATTGTACAAACAAACACTTCGTAGATACTTGCATTCCAATATTCACAAACTCAGTTGTTTCTACTTACTTGCCCCCCAGTGGCACAGTGGTATGTCTGCGGACTTACAACGCAAGAAACCGGGTTTTAATAGCTGTGGTGGGCAGAGCACAGATAGCCCATTGTGTAGCTTTGTGCTTAATTACAACCAACAACAATCTACTTGCATATTTTATCCATGTGGATCCCTCTTTGACTGCTAAATTAGGGACAGATAGCCCTCATGTAGCTTTGCACAAATTTTCAAATAAATCAAACTATTTATTCTTAATAGGAGGTTTGTTAAATATGATTTAAAATAGACAGATTGCACACTTAATTAATTTTACTTGATTGTGACCAAGTGATTTTAGTCACCTACAGAAAAATATAGACGTTTAGAATTTAATTGATTCAGCAATTTTCATATAGGCAAAAGCTCAAATTATCAAGTTAACAATTACATGTTATCAGCTTTAACTTCCACTATGCCTGATGTGGCCTCGTGTTTAGGGCAGTCGACTTGCAATCTGTGGATCATGGGTTCCATTCCCATCACCAAGCGTGCTTGCCCCTTTTGGCCATGAAGGAATTATAATGTGACAGTCAGTCCCACTATATGTTGGTAAAGAGTAGCCTAAAAATTGACAGTAGGTGGTATTAACTTGCTGCCCTCCCTCTAGTTTATCATTTCAAAATTAGGGATGGCTAGAGCAGATAGCTCTCAGGTAGCTTTGCATGAAATTCAACAAAGAAACAAATTTACTTCCAAATTTTAAATACAGGAGACATGTCAACAATAGATAAACCCAAGTTATTCTTTAGCTATTATCCATTTTAGGCCTTAACTGATTTCAGAATGACATGAGAATATTAGATATTTAAGATGATTCAAGTGCTTTTATCCATTTAAAACAAATTCTCTATTTTCTATGCTCTAAAATTTCTGTTTCAGGTCAAGATTGCATTCAGTTTGAGCAAAGTGGCCACACAGTCCTCAGCTGCAATATGAGACGAGAAGCCTATCATCAAGGAACTCAGGCACAGGTAGACCTGAACCTCAACCTGCAACTAATTCAAGCTGTAGAATCGCATGCCGGCCAGCTTGGACAGAAGGTGGCAGATCAATGCCATCGATCTTAAGTGTCGGCTAACAATACGAAGAATTGAATTGTGGCGGAATGCTACAAGTTCTTCAAATACCTATAGAATGATAGGTTTATTTTTTGTGAGTGTAAAACACTTAAATACACCGGTTCAATTTTCGATACCTCACTACTATAAAGGCTTGGTTTGGTTTGATATTTCATTGGTGGTAGTGTCCAGGGTCACTGATGAGGAGTGGAATTCTCCAAAACACCCTCCCCAATGAAAGAATAGACCATTCCAAGCTTTTATTTGTTGTTAAACAAATATTTAAACAACTCTGTTTATTCAGTCCTAAGTTTTGTCGTGTGCAATAAATGTTTACATAAGTATCTCTTATATAACATTAATTGGTTTTCATCTCATATTAAGTAACAGAACTTGTATATAATTGTTTAATTTTTGCCGTTAAACTTGCACCTGATAGTAAATGTGTAAAGAATATAAACGTTTTCTTGGTAGGCAGGCATTCTATGAACTTCCACTGTTTCTTGTATTAGGTACTTATTAATACAATCTATTATAAGTATACAAAACTTGATGTAAAAAATCATGTTTTTCAGTCTGTATCTCATGATGCTAGGGGGTTTGTTTACTCGTTACTAGACTATATGGAGTTGTATTTGCACCATTAAAAACACAAAAACCAGGATATGTTATGATTAACTTGTAACTATTATAAAGAGATCAGGTAAAAAATTTCCAAAATACCTAGAACTAAGACAAGGAGCATTATGTGATCTTCGATAGGAACTTAGGCCTATATCGACACAAACAACAGGAATATAAATAAGAATTAGAACAAAGTTCTGAATGGAACAAATGCTACTGTGAAACAACTCTCTTACAGTGGTATGTGTATCTTAGTAACCATTTGAACAGTGGATCAGTTGGTGTTTTAATTGAAGAGAGAGAGAGGTGTATAAGTGTGTGTGATGGGAAATTATATATGTTTAGTAGATCAAGATTGCATACCATGGTGATTCATGATTAGTTGGATTTAGTTGGGTAAATACTGTTGTAAAAGTGTTGAGTTAATTTGGTAGATTTCATGTGAATTTTAAAAAGATGTGCTATCTCTAATTCAGGAGCATAGTTTAATGTCAATATTTGCTCTTTGACTCGGACTTAACCCTTTAAAACCATCCCAGTCAGAATGCACATACAAAAGGTCACCTTATACAGTAGTTATCATCAATTAACCACGTATTGAATGCAGCTGGAAAACGTTTTGAAGGTTTTTTTGGCTACCGTTTTATAAGTTTTCTATGTATTTAAAGTAACAGTACCTTGCTTTTGTTTTCAGTATTAAAATGTACAAATTTAGTTACAGAAAAGAAAAACATTAAAAGTTTAATGCTTTACTATAACCAGAATTGTTTAAGTTTTTTAATTCCATGGTTCATCTTCACTGGGTTTTATCGGCAACTATTTATACACTGAAGTAAAGTTAGTAATTACATGGAACATAAATGAGAGTTTAGGTTATTAAGTTGTTTTTTGTACTAACAAATAACTCCTTTAAATTATTCTACAACTCTGGTTGGTAATAAATAACGAAATGAAAGTGGAAGTTTTTGGATTTCTTGAGCAATTTTCTTCATGTTATCATCAACTTCATATCAAAGTATATTATGTATATGTAACAGGTTTTGACACTTCTTCAACTAATGTTAACAGATACTCTGGGAAGTGTATACGTAACAGGTATTGACACTTCTTCAACTGATGTTAAAAGATACTCTGGGAAGTGTATATGTAACAGGTTTTGACACTTCTTCAACTAATGTTAACAGAT